TACCCTATCAATTCCTTTGAGAATCTTGTGTGTGGTGATCATGTTCCCCCTAACTCTTTTGTCTTACAACGACATGAGGTTTAACTTCCGTAGTCTCTCCTCGTAGCTCATACCTCTCAGCTCGGATACTAGTCTGGTGGCAAACCTTTGAACCTTCTCCAGTTTAGTCTTATGCTTGACTAGATATGGACTCCATGCTGGAGCAGCATAATCCAGGATTGGTCTTACATATGTGGTATACAAAGTTCTGAATGATTCCTTACACAAGTTTCTAAATGCCATTCTTATGTTGACCAACCTGGCGTATGCCGCTGATGTTATCCTCCTGATATGGGCTTCAGGGGACAGGTCTGGCGAGATAACAACCTCCATGTCTTTTTCTCTCTCTGACTCATGAAGAATTTCATCTCTCAGATGATACCTAGTATCTGGCCTCCTGCTCCCTACGCCTATCTTCATTACATTACATTTGCTTGGGTTAAACTCTAACAACCATTTGTTAGACCATTCCTTCAGCTTGTCTAGGTCTTCTTGAAGCCTCAAGCAGTCCTCCTCCTACCTTGAGGTTACCTTACCTTGAGGTGCTTCCGGGGCTTAGCGTCCCCGCGGCCCGGTCGTCGACCAGGCCTCCTGGTTGCCGGACTGATCAACCAGGCTGTTGGACGCGGCTGCTCGCAGCCTGACGTATGAGTCACAGCCTGGTTGATCAGGTATCCTTTGGAGGAAGACATCCATGTTGTCAATTTGTCACGAAGTCCCTTCTCTTCAGATGTGTTACTAGGTTTTGTCTCACAATCTTCTCCATCACCTTGCATGGTATACAAGTCAAGGACACTGGCCTGTAGTTCAGTGCCTCTTGCCTGTCGCCCTTTTTGTAAATTGGGACCACATTCGCCGTCTTCTATATTTCTGGTAAGTCTCCCGTCTCCAGTGAACTACTATACACTATGGAGAGTGGCAAGCAAAGTTCCTCTACACACTCTTTCAGTCCCTATGGTGAGATCCCGTCTGGACCAACAGCCTTTTTTACATCCAGATACTGCAGGTGCCTCTTGACCTTCTCACTTGTAATTTCGAACCCTTCCAAGGCCGCCTGGTTTACTTCCCTTTCTCCTAGCACAGTGACCTCACCTTGCTCTATTGTGAAGACCTCCTGGAACCTCTTGTTGAGTTTTTCACACACCTCTTTGTCATTCTCTGTATACCTGTCCTCGCCTGTTCTAAGTTTCATTACCTGTTCTTTCACTGTTGTTTTCCTCCTGATGTGACTATGGAATAGCTTTGGTTCGGTCTTGGCTTTGTTTGCTATATCATTTTCATAATTTTTCTCTGCTTCTCTTCTCACTCTAACATACTCATTCCTGGTTCTCTGGTATCTCTCTTTGCTTTCTGGTGTTCTGTTATTCCGGAAGTTCCTCCACGCCCTTTTGTTCAGTTTCTTTGCTTCCATACATGCCTTATTATACCATGGATTCTTCTTTTGCCTCTCGGATTTTTCCCTTTGGGATGGGATGAACCTGTTTACTGCCTCCTGATACTTTTGGGTGACATAGTCCATCATATCTTGTACAGACTTAGCTCTGAGGTCTGTGTCCCAAGGTATTTCCCTCAGGAAACGTCTTATCTCCTTATATTTCCCTTGTCGGTAAGCCTGCCTTTTGTTTCCTAGTTTTTTGGGGGGAGATAATTCCTAGCTCTACCAGGTACTCAAAGTTTAATACATTGTGGTCACTCATTCCCAAGGGTGCTTCCATATTAACTTTCCTTATAGCCCACTCATTTAGGGTAAATATCAGATCGAACATGGCTGGTTCATCTTCTCTCATTCTTGTTAGTTCCTTGATGTGCTGGCTTAGAAAGTGTCTTGTTGCCACGTCCAGCAGCTTAGCTCTCCATGTTTCTGGTTCTCCATGCAGATCCCTGTTCTCCCAGTCTATTTTCCCGTGGTTGAGGTCCCCCACGATTAGTAGTCCAGAACCATTCGTGCTGGCAACAGAAGCTGTTCACTCTATTATGTTAATGATGGCCATGTTGTTTCTATCATATTCCTGTCTGGGTGTTGTGTCATTTGGCGGTGGATTATATATGACTGCGACTATAATTTTTTGTCCTCCAGTTGTTATGGTACTGCTATGTAGTCACTGACCCCCCTCACAGTCCTGAATAACTATCTCCTCAAAGTCCCAGCCCTTTGTTACCAGCAGAGCTACACCACCACCGCCTCTTCCTTCCTCTTTCTTTCCTCATAACATAATATTCCTGTGGGAACACTGCATTTGTTATGGTTTTCGTTAGCTTCGTTTCTGTGAGTGCTATTATGTCTTGGTTTTCCTCTAGTACCCATTCTCCAAGCTCATTTGCTTTATTTGTAATTCCATCTATGTTAGTGTACATTGCCCTGAGGCTCACTTTCAGGGAAACCCTCCTCATTTAGGGTAAATATCAGATCGAGCATGGCAGGTTCATCTTCTCTCATTCTTGTTGGTTCCTAGATGTGCTGGCTTAGAAAGTGTCATGTTGCCACGTCCAGCAGCTTAGCTCTCCATGTTTCTGGCCCCCCCTGTTCTCCCAATCTATTTTCCCGTGGTTGAAGTCTCTCATGATTGGTAGTCCACATCCATTCCTGTTGGCAACAGAAGCTGCTCTCTCTAATATGTTAATGGTGGCCACGTTGTTTCTATCATATTCCTGTCTGTGTCTTCTGTCATTTGGTGGTGGATTATATATGACTGTATATCATGTATGTATGTACTCACCTAGTTGTGCTTGCGGGGTTCAGCTCTGGCTCTTTGGTCCTGCCTCTCAACCGTCAATCAACAGGTTTACAGATTCCTGAGCCTATTGGGCTCTATCATATCTACACTTGAAACTGTGTATGGAGTCAGCCTCCATCACATCACTGCCTAATGCATTCCATTTGTCAAACGACTCTGACACTAAAATACATACATACATATGTATGTATGTATGTATGTATGTATGTATGTATGTATGTATGTATGTATGTATGTATGTATGTATGTATGTATGTATGTATGTATGTATGTTGGGAAAGCGTCCAACAGGCAAGCCCCAGCTACGGTACAAAGACGTATGCAAGAGGGACCTGAAAGCCATGGACGTTGATCTTGCTATATGGGAGACACTGGCTGCAGATCGTTCAGCCTGGAGGCAGTCTGTTCAAAGAGGTCTCTCCAAGTTCGAGGAGTCACTTGCCAAGGAATCGGAGACAAAGAGACAGAGAAGGAAAGCCGGTAGCCAGGAAGACAGACCAGAATCGGACTTCGTTTGTGCTCGGTGTGGGATGGACTGCCACTCTCGGATTGGCCTCATCAGTCACACCAGACGCTGCACCAGGATTGACAACTAGGGCGCAACTCCATAGTCTTCCGAGACTGAAGGATGCCTACTATGTATGTATGTATGATGTATGTATGTATGTATGTATGTATGTATGTATGTATGTATGTATGTATGTATGTATGTATGTACGTACGTACGTACGTATGTATGTATGTATGTATGTATGTATGTATGTATGTATGTATGTATGTATGTATGTATGTATGTATGTATGTATGTATGTATGTATGTGTTTGTGACTGTCGGTTTAGAAACAAGTTAGCTTATTTGTGTAACAAGATAGGAATTTTCTAGGTCTCGGAATGTTTAACCCATGAATATATTGGCTAGCATCCAGCTGAGTTACTAGATGGATGAATTTCGGTGTGACATTTGGGCGGTTATATGACGGATGTGAGGACAGTTGACTATCCTATGAACACAGGCAATGATCACCTGAACTGAAGATGTACGATAACTACTTGTGGATTATAGTACGATATCTAGCTATGGCGTTTCATAATTGCTGATGCTGTTGTTGTATAGAAATTTAACTATACTTAAATAGATGAGGAATTGCTGTATATATCTCTTTGCAATGAGCCAGTACTGTGATTAGAGAGATTGTCATCTGAAATATTGAGCTTCCCCATTGGATATTGTTATGAAACAAGAATGTAAACTATTTATTGTAAGCTATTATTGAAAACTAATATTGGGAGTTGGGTCCCTTGATTGTTTCAGGTGTAGGTTGGACATATATATATATTTATGAATGAGATTGAATGGATATAAATACAAGCTGCCTCATATGGACCAATAGGTTTACTGTAGTTACCTTCATTCTCATGTTCTTATTACTAATAAAAGAATAAAATGTATAAAATCTATATTCTTAAACACCCTGGTTAGGTTAGGTTAGGGGATGGCTGGTGGTACCCCCCTATTATTATTATTATTATTATTATTATTATTATTATTTAACATTAAATACACTACAAAAATAAGTAGGATGCCAAGGCTTCATTGCATAGCTTGTGATCTCACCATTGATAAGTCATGATGCTGTGAGATTGTCACACTTCTGTATTAATGAGAGGCAATATTAATCCCTCACTGGAACCGCTTTGTGACGTCATGCACCACTAAAAACAATGGATCTTATTATTGTAGAAATAATTGTTTTTGTTTGATTATTGTAGGTTAGGTTAAATTGGCTCGGTAAAATTGATGAATTGAATGAAACAATATTAGCAATGATGCAATGTCCTAAGATATGAGTGGATACAAGACATCGCGCAGCCTGTGATGACACTTACCGAGAACAGTTGAGCTGTTAAGAGATTTTACTCAAAGTGTTAATGAAGAGAGGTTGGATTTCTTAATGGAACCACGCTTACGTCATGGGCGGCTAACGCAACTTACCCAATTGGTGGAACAGATCTCAATGGGGATGATGACGTTTCTATTAGTAAGGTTATGAAAACTGCAGAAGATCTATTTTACACATATAACGCAGTTTCAATTTATTTCTTCCCAATCCAGTTTATTTATATTTGTACACTGAATGAATATTTCTATTGGGCGTACCTGGGTGTATGCTACAGTTTTTTTATTATTATTATTGAGACTTACACGGGATTAGTAGTGTGAGAGGAATAAAAGGTAATGTCTGAGTGATGACATAGTTTTATTTTCAAAATTATATAATAAAAAATATTCGCATGTTGTATGAAGACTTCAACTGGGGGTTTAGTAGTATTCCCTTGTCTGTATCATACGAATAGTAGCTAGAAAATTTCATCCATTTCAATGCTCAATAAACGATCCTTGGCTGGACACTATATATATAAAAGCTTCCAGATAAGTAAAGGGGGATAAATAGGGTCTTCTGAATGTTAATAGAGCGACATTATTGATATGTATAAATAGAGATGAAAGGGGATATTAATAGGGAATAGAGCTACTGCAGTTCATCTAATAGCAGCAGTTGATGTTTTTGTTAACATAGATTGGAAGTAAATAGGAGCTCCTGTAAAAGGCCTTCAGGAATTTTTTTTTTCGATATGCAGTTGTAGCGAGAAAATGATCTTAGAAAATGGGAAACAGTATGGACAATATATCATTAAAGGAAAACGGGTTTAATATGAGCAGATGAATGCACTTGTGGAGGTCGCCGAGGTAACGCAAAACAACCTAGACGGAAGGCTAACTTTTAATCCCCTTGAGCGAAATTTAAAGGGAAATAGATGACGAACAATCACTCACTGGGGTAACACAAAACAGCCCAGAACGGGACAGGCATTTTAATCCCACTTGAACGAAATTTAAGAGACTAGAAGGCCAACAATCACTCGTTGGGGTAACGAAAACGGACCCAGACGGAAGGCGATTTTTTAATTCCCTTGACATAACTATTGAAAATGGGAATAAATATACCATATCAGAAAACGGTCTTATACGGGGAAGATGACGACTGGATGATGTCATTGACCATTAGCGATGTCTGTGCAGGGTCAGCGAGGTAACGAAATTTTGCGGTGACTAAAGGCGGCCCTTTAATCCCCTTGAACCAAACTTTCAGGGCCTAGGAGGGAGTCTTTTAATCTCCCTTTTTGGAAAATTACATATGATGGTAAGGAGCAGTTGAGAAATCTGAAAGTACTGAGCAGCTGCGGTGGACGGCAGCACTGAGCAGCTGCGGTGAACGGCAACACTGAGCAGCGGTGGTGGACGACAGCAATAAGCAGCTGTGGTGGACTGCAGCCCTGAGCAGCTGTGGTGGACGGCAGCACTGAGCAGCTGTGGTGGACTGCAGCACTGAGCAGGTGTGGTGGACTGCAGCCCTGAGCAGCTGTGGTGGACTGCAGCACTGAGCAGGTGTGGTGGACTGCAGCACTGAGCAGCTCAATACACAGTACCTGGAGACCAGCAGCTGCGGTGGACGGCAGCACTGAGCAGCTCAATACACAGTACCTGGAGACCAACACCGTGACCAGCACCAAGGATCACGAACACACCCTGAAATACACACAAAGGCGAGCCAACCGACTAGAAAATATGTTAGGAAAGTGTTTATCTTCAATCGGTAGTAAGCATACAACTATTCTCAGTTTGGGGTGATATCTATATTTACACAGTTTCTACATGTTTAAAATACACACAAATAGGTATATTACCCAGATATTGGTCAAGGAGAGCGGCGTCTTGACTGTGATCTTGGTCGGGGCGTGAGAACAAGCTGTGGAGTTCTTCTCTGAGGATTTCATCCACTGGAAGAAGAGCCCAGCTTCCGTCATCCCTATTATTCTGACACAAGGAAAATATTTAGAGTTATGTTTACAAGCAGACGTCAATGGATTTTCATGAAAATACAAATTTGTTGTTAGCATCGAAGCAGTTTAGGACCAACTGACCGCGCAGGTCATGGCTGACAGGCACTACCTAGCCATCTCTGGCTATTACTTAGTGGCACACCTGACTGTCCACGACCATAACACAGCACTACCTAGCCACCAACGACAAGATACTAGAGGCACGACCAAACCGTCGACGACGGTAACTTGGGGATCCTCCCAGCTCTACACGCCCACAACCTTACATGCACCTCCCAGCTCTACACACCCACAACCTTACATGCACCTCCCAGCTCTACACGCCCACAACCTTACTTGCACCTCCCAGCTCTACACGCCCACAACCTTGCATGCACCTCCCAGCTCTACACGCTTACAACCTTACATGCTCCTCCCAGCTCTACACGCCCACAACCTTACATGCACCTCCCAGCTCTACACACCCACAACCTTACATGCTCCTCCCAGCTCTACACGCCCACAACCTTACATGCACCTCCCAGCTCTACACACCCACAACCTTACATGCACCTCCCAGCTCTACACGCCCACAACCTTACATGCACCTCCCAGCTCTACACGCCCACTACTCCTGGGATCTCTAGGAGGAAAATGACATTTCATCATAAATATATATTAAATTAAATACATATTTTTCACTTACAACTGATGGCAAATTATTTAAGTTTAAGAATTCCTCAATAAATAATTATCAGGTTTTGTGTGATTATATTTTTGAAAAGAATTTTTATACTCTGAAGAAGTGACGAATAAATGTTACTTAAATCATTTTTGTGAAGAACAAATGATACGTAAATTACCTCTTATTTAAGGCTGGAATGAGTGGACTGTCCTTCGGTCCGATCATGCCAAATATTAAGGGCAGAAACTCTTCGTTCGATGAGTAAAATGAACATTCTCCTGGAACATGATGATAACTACATGGGTTTATGTTATACATCTTGTATATGTTAATATTGTTATGATATTGTTAATATTATTATGATATTGTTAATATTATTGTGATATTGTTAATATTATTATGATATTGTTAATATTATTATGATATTGTTAATTTTGTTATATCTAGTTCTTGAAAAGAAGAACTAGATATAACACACTGCTTCTACAGGGTGTAGAAGCAGTGTTCTATACCGTGGTGTAGAGTTCATTACTCAAGTCTTGAGGAACGGAAGGTTAGGTTTAATACTTTATGAGTTATGCAATGCATGACATGCTTTGATAGTTGTGTGTTCCTTCAGTTTTATATATAAAACTCAGTATAATATATGCAACATGGTGTGAGCTTCAAATGTAGTCCATAGCAGACATGAAACTAGAGTTTGAAATGTATTGATTGTAAATGTTTACTATGTGATGGAAGAGCTGGCGCGTGCTGTAAACATACACAGTGCACCTCAATGCTCTCCACGTGTTCTCTTTATCAGTATATATTTAAATAAAGATTTGATACCGCTGGTGACGTGAAATACTTACAGTCCACCAAATTTGTTACAGCAATAATTAGTTGGACAATTAATTTTGTTTGTAGACATAAAATGCTACGTAATGCACGCTTGTTAATGATATGTAAAACAAATGATATTTTTTAATTAATAAAAAAGTAATGAGAGAAGCAGTGTAAGCGCTGACAAGCAACAACAATATAATAATATACAGGATGAGATACCCATTAGGGCGAGCTTTAAAGTGGGGACAGCTGAAGAGAAGTTGGTGAGAGGAAACGCTGAAGTTGTAGAGAAAGTGCCCCTGGGCTTAACCCAGCTGCGTATCTTCAGTCGATGCTGGAACAACCCCACAACTGGCTAGGCTTTGAGTCGGGTCAGTAAAGGGGTCAGTGGCAGTGCTTCTTCATTCTAAGTTCAGGTACCTGGGTGTCAGTCAGCTGTCACGGGCCGCTTCCTGGGGGTGGAGGCCTGGTCGAGGACCGGGCCGCGGGGACACTAAAGCCCCGAAATCATCTCAAGATAACCTCTTGTCAGAACCTAAGATGGTACTTAGTATTCTTAGTGATGATGTAGTATTATTAGTGATGGTGCTGTATTCTTAATGATGGTGCAGTATTTTTAGTGATGCAGTATTATTAGTGACGGTGCACTATTCTTAGTAATGGTGCAGTATTCCTAGTGATGCTGCAATGTTCTTAGTGACGCTGCAATGTTCTTAGTGATGGTGCAGTACTCATAGTGATGGTGCAATGTTCTTAGTGACGCTGCAATGTTCTTAGTGATGGTGCAGTACTCATAGTGATGGTGCAGTACTCATAGTGATGGTGCAGTATTCTTAGTGATGGTGCAGTTTTCTTAGTGATGGTGCAGTATTCTTAGTGATGGTGCAGTATTCTTAGTGATGATGCAGTAGTATTAGTGAGTGTGCAGAGTTTTTAGTGATGGTGCAGTATTCCTAGTGATTGTGAAGTTTTCTTAGTGATGCTGCAGTATTTTTAGTGATGGTTCAATGTTCTTAGCAATGGTGCAGTATTCTTAGTGAAGGTACAATATTCCCAGTGATGGTGCAGTATTCTTAGTGATGCTGACGTATTCTTAGTGATTCTGCAATTTTCGTAATGACGGTGCAGTATCCTTCGTGATGGTGCTGTATTCTATGTGAGGCTGCCGTATTCGTAGTGAAGCTGCAGTATTCATAGTGATGCCACAGTTTTCGTAGTGATGTCATAGTACTCTTAGTGATGTCATAGTATTCTTAGTGATGCCGCAGTATTCTTTGTGATACTGCCATATGATTAATGATGCTGCTGTATTTTTAGGGATGTCACAGTATTTTTAGTGATGCTGATACAGTATTCTTAGTGATGGTGCAGTATTTGGAGTGAGTTTGCAGTATTCTTCGGGATGATGAAATATTCTCCGTAATAGCGCAGTATTCTTAGTGAATGTGCAATACTCTTAGTGATGACGTAGTATTCTTAGTGATGATGAAGTATTCTTAGTTATTACTCCGTATTCTTAGTGATTGGGTAATATTCTTAGCGAAGCCACAATATTAATAGTGACAAGGTAGTATTCATAGTGATGCTTCAGTATTCTTACTGATGCCCCAGTATTTTTAGCGATGGTGAAGTATTCTTAGTTACATTGCAGTATTCCCAGTGATTGTAAAGTATTCTTAATTATGGTGCAGTATTTTTAGTGATACTGCAATATTCCTAGTGAAGCTGCATTATTCTTAGTGATAGTTCAATATTCTTTGTGATGGTGCAGTGATGATGAAATATTCTTAGTGATCCAACATAATTTCATGTGATTTTAGTGACGATGCAGTATTATTAGTAATGCTGCAGTATTCCTAGCGATGGTGAAGTATTCTTGGTGATGGTGAAGTATTCTTAGTGATACTGCAGTATTCTTTGTGATGCTTCAGTATTCTTAGTGATATCACAGTATTCTTTGTGATGCTTCAGTATTCTTAGTGATATCACAGTATTCTTAGTGATGCTTCAGTATTCTTAGTGATATCACAGTATTCTTAGTGATGCTGCAGTATTCTTAGTATTACAGTATCGACACAGTCGCTGGAGTGTGGAGCGGCGATTTCTGCGCCATCTATGGATATGCACTCCAACTCCCTGGTATTGGGTGCAATGCGGACAACCCCATCTGTTGGTGGTGGTGCGGCATCGGTGAAAGGCTCCGGTTTCCTGCTTCAGTCAGAATGTGAGGTCGATGATGACGACCTCTGATGGGTGGCATAATGATGTCAACACCATTTAGGTTGTGGCTACAGGCTCCACGCCTGCTCCTGACAAGTATTCTTGTCAAAAATTCTGACAATTAGCGATGCTGCAGTATTCTATATGATGCCCCGTTATTCTATGTGATGCTTCATTATTCTATGTTATTCTGCAGTATTCTGTGTGATGCAGCAATATTTTACGTGATGATGCAGTACTGTACGTAATGCTGCAGGATACTTAAGTGATGCTGCAGCATTACACACAACAATGCACAATGCTCCCAGGACCAGTACGTGATCCTGTAGCACTCTATGATGCTATAAGCGATGCTGCATTACTCTATGGAATGTTGCAGTGTTCCATGTTATGCTATAGCATTTTGCGTTATGTTGCCGTATTCTATGTGATGATGAACTGTTCTATTGGATGCTGCCGTATTATGTGCGATCCTGCAGAATTGTGTGTGATGTTGTCGTACTCTCTGTGGTGCTGCAGCTTTCCACTATTTAATGGATTATCTAATTTAAGTTAGTTTTAACCGTCTTTTCTTAAATTTTTCTCCTTTCTGTCTCTTCCCTGCTGAAGGCTCCCAGCCCCACCAGGACCTCCCAGCCCCACCAGGACCTCCCAGCCCCACCAGGACCTCCCAGCCCCACCAGGACTTCCCAGCCCCACCAGGACCTCCCAGCCCCACCTGGACCTTCCAGCCCCACCAGGACCTCCCAGCCCCACCAGGACCTCCCAGCCCCGCCAGGACCTCCCAGCCCCACCTGGACCTCCCAGCCCCACCTGGACCTCCCAGCCCCACCAAGACCTCCCAGCCCCACCAGGACCTCCCAGCCCCACCAGGACCTCTCAGCCCCACCTGGACCTCCCAGCCCCACCAGGACCTCCCAGCCCCACCAGGACCTCCCAGCCCCGCCAGGACCTCCCAGCCCCACCTGGCCCTCCCAGCCCCACCAGAACCTCCCAGCCCCACCAGGACCTCCCAGCCCCACCAGGACCTCCCAGCCCCACCAGGACCTCCCAGCCCCGCCAGGACCTCCCAGCCCCGCCAGGACCTCCCAGCCCCACCAGGACCTCCCAGCCCCGCCAGGACCTCTGTTACATCGGTCGATGTTGTTGTAGAATGAATAGGTTGTGGGCAGGAATTGGAGTACCAAACGTCCACTACTTTTTCTTAGTTTTATTATAAATATATATATATCTTCTATCTTCTACACGGGCCACGAACTAGCTTGTAGCGTGCGAAAGGGAGCGCGTGTAGACGCTCTGATGCCCGGGGTGTGTCTGAGGTCTGTGGTCTGCAGCAGAGTAGATTGCATTCAAATCTGCTGACACGTTGTTGATACTTATTAAGTTGTTTAGCTTAAGAGGGTATTAGGTCACCCTATGTGTATGACCATGGGCGACTAACTGGCGTCCAACACCGCTCGGCACGCTATCATCGGCGTCCTCGGCGATCTGCTTGAAAAATTTGACAACCCTTGGGCGTGTACCTAACTTACGTTATATACAGTGATTTACCTATAGTGGCCGTAAACAAACAAGTTTTGAGACGTCCAACACCGTCTCGGACATGCATGAATAATGAGTACAATAATGAGTACAATGCTTAAATATAATCCTTAAACTAAGCTATCCATGGAGCATCATGAGTAACTAGCTAAATGTCTGCGCGAACTGGAGGCAGGAGGTCCGGCTGCAGGTAGAGGCGGTAGCGGTAGAGGCATCGGACCAGAAGTTGCGCGTAAGAATTCATGATGCTCAGCCACAGTGTTACCTGTGAAGTAGATTATAAACGGCAGACACTAACGTAGGCACAATATATTACATGGCAATACATAGAATAAGCGACATTTCCACTAAAATATGGAGAGCATGAACGTGGCAGGAACATGAGGACCTACATAGTGTATAGAGACACGACAAGATCAATAAACTACGAATAAAGATACCTCAGGTGGAAGGGTCTATATACATTGAACCGAGGGGTGCGAAACGAATGTTGTAATCACTCTTAAATCTAGTCATAAAACTATGAATTCTCAGGTGCTAATCCATCACGAACGTAGTCTCCCTCTGCCATGTATGAACAGGCAGGGAGAGGGGAGCAGATAGAAGGCATCCATTGTCCCTTACAGACTGGAACACCACAGTCGCACGAAGAGGAATCATCAGACTGTTGGTAGTGTACTGTCGAAAT